TCCGTTCGCGTATCTCTGCTGGGCGCGGAAGACCCGTAGAGAGGAACTAAAGATGCCATACAAATACAGGGTGTCTAGCCCTGCCCCCTTACCAAAACAAAAAAAAAGGTTAAAAGATTTTTTTTTTTTTTTTTGCCGCGAAAATAAACGATGCATTGTAAACGCGAAAATAAACGATGCGTCGTAAACGCGCAAGACTCGCGCCACGAGCGGGTGCTCCGCCGCCATATTCCTCCAAGGGCCGCTCGAGACACGGGCCTCGCGCACTGGCACATTTGACGTTACTACAGTGTTCTAGAGGGTGTAGTGGCAACAGCGGCGCCCGCTTACAATGAAGCGCGTGAAGACGGTCGATGTAGATACCGCGAGTGGCGCTGGAGATCTGTGCCCTAGGAGAATTAATGGCACGTGTGCGATGAGCGAAGAAGACGACGAGGGTGACGCGGTACGCTTCTCCAAAATGTAGCACCGTAGACACTCTAGAGGAATTAGTCCAAAGGCAGAACTAAAATTTACTATACTTAGTTTCACCTTATGTTGTACCGCAGCGAAGGCTAGAAGCGCGTGCTCATAGTGTTGGCAGCTGCTCTTAATTCACGAGAGCTTATTCCGCCAAGAAGTGACCCAGAGCAAGGAGCTCGCGCTTGTAGCGTTTCCTGCGGTAGATCATAAGGTGAAACAGAGTACACAGAACACCATTAGCAGTTGCTTCGCACCGCGAAAAGCTCCAGTCAAACCACAGTAGTAAGCGCCGAACAGCGCTGATGATGGGGCTGACGGGGGCGCGCGCCTAGGGCACAGAACAGCAGCGCCAGGGTGTCGTCTACGCGCAAAATCTTCACAAAGCGGCCGCCGCTCTTGCCACTACAACCCCCTCTAGAACACTGTAACGTTACGTTACTTGAAAAACCAATGCAAACACATAGAGGGGCTTTAGTCCCTGCATGCTTTGCAGCGTGAGCTCCGTGCTTTGAACGGAGCTCGCAATCCCGCATTTCGCCACGTGTTCTGATCTGCGGTGCCACAACACAGTAGGCCCACGGTTCACCACCGCACATGTTTTAGCCTGTGAGCTAAACCAAATGAGCTACGCTTAGAATATCGGCACTCTTTTCCTCTATATTGTCGTGGGCGCCACTATCTTGGCGGTTAGTTGAGAAGTGCAAGCTTTACTGCCAGCTTTGCGGTGTGGACGGTGCGTCCATTGCGGTTCTCGGTACAGGAACAAGTGCCCGAGTTCTCGCTAGCACGCGATTGTCACGAGGCTCGCGGCATCGGCTGCTTAGTCCACCCGCCGGTGGCGCCGGTACATAACACCTCTTCCCCCCTCAGATGTAGCTCCGATAACGTTATGTCTGTCTATGCTGGAAACAGGGGTTGAGAAACTGCGTCGTGACGTCGCCGGTGGGAGGAGCCTAATCTGCATCACCAGCAAACTACATCGGAAGAGAACTGCACCGTGACGTGTCCGATGACGTCGCCGAACTGTTGCGATTTAAAACTACATCGTTTTTTTTTTTGTTTTTTTTTTCACCTTACACGGAATTTTGGAGAATCGCAAAACTCGGCAGTGAAGGATTCTATTCTTCGTTTCACCAAATGTTGTACCGCAAAGAAGGCTAGAAGCGCGAGCTCATAGCGTTAGGAGCTGCTCTTGACACACGAGAGCTTGTGTCGCCGAGATGTGCTCTAGAGCAAGGATCTCGCACGTGTTGCCTTTCCTGCGGTACATAAGGTGATACAGAGTATTAGCGACGTGAGCGATCGAAAGCGTGTTATGGTCGGTTTTCCACGATTGGGCGAATGCTGACTATGAAGTCAGGAAAGGATTTCTCTTCGACGTAAATGAGAGGAATGTAAGAACTTCAAGTTTGGCGGTGTTGGCGGCGTTGGTTTCAGAGTGCTATGATTCCGAGCTTCCCATATGCCGATTACCAACACCATGCAAATTGTTGTTTGCAAGGTAATGACGACACGAGGGGAAACTATAGGAGGGCGCCACCAAAACATCTCGCCCCTAATAGAAAGCAATTCTCTGAAGTATCCGAAACGTATAGTGCAGAGCAATTAAATTAAACTATTTTCTCTTGAAATTTGGAGCATGAAATATTTAGTTTACTTAAGTAAAGGCCCGTTCACACACTTGCGACCTCTTAAAACTGGGTTCCTTGAAACCTCTTAAGACAGAGTAAAGGCGAGAGGACACACTGGCGCCATCTATTGGGTAGCAGTGTAAACTTGGCGGTCCGGCATATTTTTGTATTTTTTTCGTGGGTCGAAAAACTTATTCCTTTCGTGGCTCGAAAAACTTTTCCCAACGTTATAAACGAGCCTTTGTTGTAGGTATTACGCTCATTTGACGACGAAAATCTCGCAAAACCTTCGTTTTTGTCAAATGCAGTTCCAGGGTAACCGCATAGATGGCGCAAGCGTGCCAGTGTGTTCCGTCGTCCTAAGAAATTTCAGAGGTTTTAACAAGCCTCGGTCTCTTTCGGTCGTACTCGGTTGCAAGAGTGTGAACGGGCCTTTACAAAAAAACGATACCATTAGCTCCAGCCCTTGACGTTATGGAGGTAGGCAGTCATGCCCGACAACACGAAAAAGCGGAAGTGAAGTCCTCTCGTGCCGGTCCACCACATTAGCCTTCTGATAGACTTTGTGACGGAAAACTAAGTTTTAGTGAGGGCCGACACTGACAGCCCTCTGACCAAGTCTGAGCGGGTCGAGGTGCGGGACAGAATTGTGGACGAGCTGAACGCCCACGGCCCGTGCATCAAAACGCAAGCAGAATGGAAGGGCCACTGGAATACTCGTGCGTGCCACGCCCGAGCGCGTATAGCGTGTGCTGCCCGGCCGTGTATCACTACTGCGTGGTGCACGTTAACAACCACAGGCTTGGAGACGTCCTGCACTCGCTAAATTGCTTATCTACAGTGGGTAATGTTATGTATGTTGATTAACAACCAGCGCCCCCTGGCTCGGGTGCTCGTGGAAACCTGCCGAAGACGAAGTGATTTTGGTGCGCTCTGGAACATTCCATCGAACACTAACCAGGAGCAGCATCCCAGTTTTATGCTCAAGACTATGCCCTAAATAAACATAGTCTGATACATAACATGGTGTCAGAAGTGAACCAGTAGACGCACCAACGACGCAACGCAACAACGACGCAACAACGACGCACCAGCCGCGACATGGCAGGTGTCTTCATCCAGCCGCCATCGGCGTTCGAGCCCAACACGAAAAACCCAGCGATCTCGGGAGGAATGGCGATCCTCTTACCTCATCTACAAGACAGCCTGCGAGTACGCCCAGAAACCAAAAGCAGCACGGAAAGCGCTCCTCCTCCATGTACTTGGACCACAGGCACGTCGGATATACCAAACGTTTCCACCGCCTCCAGCCTTACCCGCAGAAGCCGCAGCCTCCTTCAACGAGGTCGAATATATCTTAGAGCAGTTTGACGCGCTATACCAGCCGTATAAGACCGTAACCCAAGCAACTGCCGTCTTTAACTCGATGACACAGCAGGCGGGCCAGTCCATTGATGATTTCGTCACTGAGCTCCGACTTCAGGCTCAACGTTGGGACTTCGGCAGCACGGGGGATCGGCTCATTGGTGACAAGATTATCGTTGGGATCCAAGAGTGGGCACTTCGCGAACGGCTTTTCCGCGAGCAGAACCTTACTCTTGAAAGAATATTATCAACCTGCAAAGCCGCAGAAATATAAAAATAAAACATGTCAAGGATCTCCAAGCAACTGCACCTAAGACAGTGGTGGACGAAATGCATCGAAACAATTCGCGAGATGCCAATTTTGACCGCGAACAACGGCGCCGGTACAATTACCCGACACAACCGCCGCAACGGCAACTACGCCCGCCACAACCATAACAGCGTCCACAGCACCCGCCTACAACCCGGCCTTGTTCGAGGTGTGGTATGGTGCATGCCCCTAGAAATTGCCCTGCCTATGGGAGCAGTTGTTTTAGGTGCGGTAAATTTGGGCACTTTGCATCTGTATGTCGACAAACAAGATCTGGCCCAGGGAACCACATATCCAGTCTTGACAACGACGGTTTCTTTCTGGGACAGCTGACAGTGGACAACGTTCAGACAACCTCTTGGACGGCCACAGTTGATGTTCACAACAACAAGGTCACCTTCAAACTGGACACAGGGGCTGACGTAAACGTCCTTCCCAGGCATGTTCTTCGGAAATGGAGTCAACCACCAAAGGTAGAACCCACCTGTGTCAGGGTCTCCACCTACACTGGCGATCATCTGCCGATCAGTGGCGAGTGCATTTTACAAACAAAGACAAGAGACCTTAGCCGCAACTTGAGATACCTGGTTGTAGACCGTAATGTTATCCCGATTCTTGGTGCTGAGGCATGCGAGGATCTTCAGCTGATACAGCGACTTCGGCAGCTGGACTCGTCGAGCGAATCAACCTACGCTGGAGCACCTACAGCCAAGTTTTTGGCCGCAACTGACGTCATCAAGGACTTTCAGGATGTGTTTACTGGAATTGGTCAGCTTCCGGGAACTGTGGCAATCACGCTCCAAGACGGAGCAGTACCTTCTGTCGCTGCTCCCCGCAAGATTCCACTAGCTATCATAGAGAAAGTAAAGGCGGAGCTTGACAAGATGGAACATGACAGCATCATCACAAAGGTCACCGAGCCAACAGATTGGGTGAACCCCTTAGTAGTGGTACCGAAGAAAGATGGCAGCCTACGGATCTGCCTTGACCGCAGACAGATGAATAACGCCATCAAACGTCAGCATTATCGCATTCGGACGCAGGAGGAACTGTTCGCTCACTTGAGTGGATGCACTGTGTTCACTCTCCTTGATGCGAAAACAGCTTTTTGGCAGCTGACACTGACTGAGGAGAGTTCGTACATTTGCACTTTTGCAACTCCTTGGGGCCGGTATCGCTTCTTGTTGCTCCCATTCGGACTAAAGAATGCTCCCGAACTCCTACAACGTGCCATGGATGACATCTTCGCCAGCATCAATGGCGTTTACCCCTACTTTGACGACATTCTCATCGCATCAAAGACAATGAACGAACACATTAAGCAACTACATCTAGTTCTGCTGACTGCACGCAAGTACAACCTCAAACTCAATGCGAAGAAGAGGCAAGTAGCAGTGTCCACCGTCTCCTACCTGGGACATCAGCTAACGGCAGACGGAATTCAAGCTGACGCTGCGAAAATAGAGGCCATCATTGCTATGCCAGTGCCCGAAAATAAGGCAGAGCTGCTCAGATTCTTTGGTATGGTCACTTACCTTACCAAATTCATGCCAAATGCCTCCAGTGAAATGGCACGCCTGAGACAGCTACTAAAGACCGACGTCCCGTGGCACTGGGATGAGACCCTGACGTTAGAGTTCATCAAAAACAAGCGTATGATCACCGAGACACCTGTCCTGCGCTTCTTTGACAATACCATGGACATTGTGGTTTCAGCAGATGAGTGCTCATACGGAGTTGGTGGTGTTCTCCTCTAAGAAAGCCATCCAGTTTCCTATGCCTCAGCCGCTCTGACCCCTACTCAACAGAAGTACGCACAAATTGAAAGAGAGCTACTGGCCATAGTTTTTGCCTGTGAGCACTTCCATTATTACACCTACGGTAGAATCGTAACCGTTCAGACTGACCATAAGCCTTTGATTGGTCTACAACAAAAATACTTCGAGAAGATCACACCACGGCTACAGCGTCTTCGTCTTCGGCTTCAGCGATATGATGTCCGTCTGACATGTCCCAGGAAAAGAGCTCACCGTCGCAGACGCGCTTTCTCGAGCACCTGCCAACACAAACTCATGCCGAGACTCTGAGCCCGGAGAGAGTCTGGGGATCTGTACACTAGTCAACGCGTCGACGACAAAACTGGAACAGATTCGTCAGGCAACAGCTGCAGATCAGATGCGGCAGCAAGTCTCCAGGTACATACGAGAAGGTTGGCCAGAACAGCGCTCAGTTCATGTGGCAGCAAAACCCTTTTTGCATTGCAAAGATGAACTGCACATATGTGAAGGTCTAATATGCCGTGGGCAGCGACTGGTTCTACCTACATCATGTCAGCAGGACGCCCTAGAGAAACTACATGGAGCACACCGTGGCATTGTGTCATGTAAGAACAAGGCACGAGAGGCTCTTTACTGGCCCTCAATGAACAAAGACATTGAGCAGATGGTTCAGCGGTGCGAGCATTGCCAGCGCTACCAGCGACAAAACCAACATGAACCACTTGCTGATCGTGACTTGCCTGACCGCCCATGGCAAAAGATAGCAGCTGATCTTTTCTAATTTAACAGATCGACTTACTTACTCATCGTGGATTACTTTAGCAAGTATGTGGAACTACAACCCATGGCGTCCGCCTGCACTGAAGCTGTCATCACCGCTATGAAAGCTGTGTGCGCGAGATTTGGAGTACCTGATGAACTAGTCTGTGACAATGGACCGCCATTTAATGCCGCGAAATTCAAAGAGTTCCTCACCAGCTGGGGCATCGCCTACAATCCCAGCTCACCCTACTACGCCAGATCGCATGGACTTGCTGAAAGATCCATTCAGACCATGAAGCACGCACTTCAGAAGGCTGTAGAAGATGGAAAAGGCCTCTTTGTTGTGCTTATGGATGTTAGAAGCACTCCCATGGATAGACTGAAGTCGCCTGCAGAGCTCCTAATGGGCAGAAAAATCCGCACACTGGTCCCGATGAATCCAACTCAACTGCAGCCCCACTACACCTGCACCGAGGCCCGATCTCGTCTACATTTTCGTCAGGAACGGCAGCATCGGCATGGGGATAAGAGAACCAAGCCCCTCGTTGCTCTTCAGAAAGGCCAGAAAGTGTAGTTTCAGCACTGTGGCAAGTGGACACCAGGCTACATTAATTCTGTGGGACCCCAGCACCGCTCATACGTTGTGATGACACCGGAAGGCACCATGTATAGGCGCAACAGGTATCACATCCGACCCGCTCACAGTCAGCCGCCAACAGCGACTGTTACAGCCGAGGATTACTATGCCGCAGCTCCTTCTCCACTTGTAGCCAGCCCACAGCCACCGCCACCCCCTCCACAGGCAGCAGACTCGTAACAGCAGTACTACACACGAGCAGGTAGAAAAGTGGTGAAACCGCAAAGATTCATACAATGAAGGTCTCAAGTGCTTTGGAATTTTTATTTTGTGTGTTCAGTTAATTTGTTTGTTTGTTTGTTTGTTTTTTTCAAAAAGAAAGGGGGGCGTGTTATGTATGTTGACTAACAGCCAGCGCTCCCTGGCTCGGGTGCTCGTGGAAACCGGCCGAAGACGAAGTGATTTTTGGCGTGCTCTGGAACATTCCATCGAAAACTAAGCAAAAGCAGCATCCCAGTTCTATGTTCAAGACTATGCCCTAAATAAACATAGTCCGATACATAACAGATAACAACGCCGCCATGTTCAGGCGGACGTTTAGCGGACAAGCGATAACTATAGGAATGTCTGCCCTGCCAAGATGCGTGACAGTGGTGCAACGCCGCGTGACGCACGTGTGGCGCGTACCAGACACAGATCACGAGCTCTGCCCGAACGTCGAGACTGGTTGGGATCACGGCGGCAGCAGGATGGATTTTTAGCAGCTCCTTTTTTTTATATTAAATGTGGTGATGAAGATTTGTTTGTTTTTAAACCGGCAAGCGTCTTTCTGTCGCTACAAATTGGTGACCCGGAGAACGCTCCACCTTCGAAGACCTTCATCTTCTGTGCCAAGGATATCCAAGCCACCCTACCTCGTAAAGTCTACTCCTGAGCAGCCCGCTGCGGGTCAACTCTCAGCACTTCACCTTCGCCTGCCTCCATTCTGGATGGCGGACCCACAGATCTGGTTTGCCCAAGTGGAGAGCCAGTTCACCACCTGGCGGGCCACTTCACAAGTCCAGAGGTTCCACCACATCATCGCAGCGCTTCCGCCAGATATCGCAGCGGAAATCAGGGACCTGGTCCTTACACCGCCCGCGAACGCTCCTTACGACACCCTCAATGCGGAGCTCATACGGAGGACCACGTCTTCGGAACAGCGCCGACTCCAACAGCTCCTCACTTACGAGGAGTCGGGCGACCGTATGCCTTCACAGCTGCTGCGGCGCCTACAGCAACTTCTGGGTGAGAAGGCGCCTACCTTCGACGTCGCGTTGCTCCGAGAGCTTTTCCTTCAGAGGCTGCCGACTAACGTCCACATGGTCCTGACGTGTGCGTCTGGACTTAACCTCGAAGAACTGGCAAAGCTCGCAGACTCCGTCATAGAAGTCGCTGTGCCCACCATTGCACAAGTCCATGGTGAGACCGGACCACTACCGTCCACGACTTCACCGGCTGGTGCGACGACTGCCACAGCCGACGTCAGCGGCCTTAGGGAGGAGTTTCATCGTGAGATAGGACGCCTGTCTGCTCAGATCGCTGCCCTCACCACCCGCATTTGAACACGCCAACGTCACATATCGACTTCCCAAGAGCGCCGGCATCGTTCTCCCTCGCCCTATTAAGGTACATACTGGTACCATCGCACTTTCGGCGCGCAAGCCAAGAAGTGCGTTCCATTATGCGCGGCCTCGGAAAACGCACAGACCACCACTAGAGGCGGCGAGTGGTGCCGGTTCCGAAGCCAGCCGTCTTTTTTTCATATCAGACAAGAATTCTGGTTTTTGGTTCCTAGTCGACACCGGCGCCGAAGTTAGCATCCTACCAGTGACGTCCATCTCAAGCAAGCCAGAGCGCTCCAACGTCACTTTGCAAGCGGCGAACAAGCCTGCCATTGCCACCTACGGCGAACGAGCACTCACACTAAACATCGGCTTGCGACGACCTCTGAGAGGGGTGTTCCTGGTGGCTGACGTGACGCGTGCAATCCTAGGGGCAGATTTTCTTCATCACTTCAAACTCCTAGTGGACATGCAGCGACTGCGCCTTGTGGATTCAACGACCAACTTCGAAGTCCAAGGCATAGAATCCTCATCATCACTCCCGCAACGTTGCACTCCACCCGCCACAAAGTTTGAAGATCTGCTTCGAAGGTTCCCTACGCTCACACGGCCTGCCAACTTTCTACCGCCAGTGGAGCATGACGTCAATCATCGCATCGTGACGACCGGACCTCCCACTTATGCTCGACCTCGAAGACTCCTGGAAGGTCGGTTAAAGATTGCAAAGGGTGAGTTCGAGCATATGCTTGAGCTCGGCATTATCAGGCCTTCATCAAGTCCATGGGCATCCCCCCTCCACATGGTGCAGAAGAAATCTCCAGGGGATTGGCGGCCTTGCGGCGACTACCGCGCGCTAAACAACTCCACCGTTACAGACCCCTATCCCCTACCACACATCACGGATTTCACCGCGTCGTTGGAAGGGTCAACTATATATTCAAAAATCGATCTAGTCAAAGCCTATCACCAGATCCCGGTGGAACTATCCAGCACACCAAAGACGGCTATCATCACTCCGTTCGGCTTCTTCGAGTATGTCAGGATGCCATTCGGCCTTCGTAACGCGGCACAGACATTTCAGCAATTCGTCGACAACGTCCCCCGTGGGCTGACATTTTGCTTCGCATATGTCGACGATATCCTGGTGTCCAGCGTTGATGCCGAGCAACATCTTGAACACCTAGAGATCCTCTTCCAGCGCCTGGCTCAATATGGACTCATTATCAACAAGGCCAAATGTCAGTTTGGCGTTTCCGAACTGGATTTTCTAGGCCACCACGTCGACTCCAAAGGCATCCCCCCACGTTTATCAAAGGTCGACGCGGTCACAACGTTCCCTACACCAACGTCGCGTAGGAAGCTTCGAGAGTTCCTCGGCGTTTTCGACTTTTTACCGGCGTTTTCTACCACACTGTGCAACTATTCTACAGCCTTTGACCGATCTTCTGAAGGAAAATCAGCGCGACTCTACACCTCTACCATGGTCTTCAGACGCAGCGGAGGCGTTCGGGGCGATCAAGGCATTGCTCGCAGAAGCTGCACTATTAGCGCATCCGCTAACTGGTGCGCCTCTCTGTGTGATGAAAGACACCTCAGATGTCGCTGTCGGCGGAGTGCTTCAACAGCTTGTTGGTGGACACTGGCAACCACTAGGATTCTTTTCCAAGAGGGTTTCGCCAGCGGAGTCCCGCTACGGTACCTTCAGCCGAGAACTCCTAGGTATCTACCTCACCATCAAGCATTTTCGGCACTACCGAGAGGGTCGGGAATATCACGTCGTTACCGACCACAAGCCAATCACTTTTGCAAATCAAGCAACACACAGCCGTCTCTCCTCCAGGAAAAGTCGGCATCTCTCGTTTATCGCAGAATTTACTTGTGACATCCGCCGCATCAAAGGCACCGACAACTCACCTGCTGATGCGTTGTCTCGGATCACTTGTTGCAAAGCCATCCCCAAAGCTGTAGATTTCGCTGCTCTAGCAGCAGCTCAGCAGGGCGACCAGCTGATCCTGAGAGTACGTTCCGCGTCCAGCAACCTTGATCTACGCGACGTTTTACTCCCAGGCTGCGATACAACGGTCATCTGCGACATGTCCACAGGTACACCTCGACCAGTGGTACCGCCCATTTTCCGGCGGCCCATTTTTAACTCGCTGCACAACCTTTCTCATCCCGGCATCCGAGCGACCGAACATCTCGTCGCTCAAAGCTTTGTTTGGCAGGGAATGAACAAAGATATGCGCGCGTGGGCACGTACTTGTCTTCTTTGTCAGCATTTCAAGGTTCAACGACATACATTTGCACCTTTGGCTACAAAGACGACAGCCACCGCTCGTTTCGACAACATTCACCTGGACATTGTAGGTCCTTTACCACCATCGCAAGGGGCCAGATACATGCTCAGGTGCATAGACCGATTCGCGCGTTGGACAGAGAAGCCTTTGCCATCGCAGACATCTGAGCGACAACAATGGACCTTTTGGCGAATATGTGCTGCCACCTATGGGGCGATGGACGAACCTGAGGCGCACTGGGTTGGAGAGCATTTGTATAGAAAACAACGTCCACGTTAGGCTTCTTGTGTTCTGCCGGTTCGTTTTCTTTTTGCAGCTCTTAGTTTTCTTTCGCTGCTCTTCGAAGCATTTTGAGTCGCGATGTCTCGGGATGAGAACATCCCGTTCGCGTTTGACGCGGACCACTGTCAGCTCATTGCCGGACCTGTGGATGCGATGCCGAGCTCACCAGCATAACCGTCCTTCATAGGAACAAGAACTCTTTCGCGCGTGAAGTGCTGGAAGCCTTGGCCATCGAAGAAAAAGGAGAAGATTGCGGTCTGCCACACCCCGTTGAATACTAGGCTAAATGGTTCTTATAAGTGTTTAGTCTGCCGTTAGACGAAGAAAAAGAAAAAAAAGAGCCTAGGCCGGGAAGAAGACAAAGTAAAATTCAGTTGATTGTCAGCGTTGTCTTTGTCCAGTTCTCTCCTTCGTGTCCTTGTTTTTTCGTGTTCAGCTGACCTGATTGCCAACAAAAGGTTCTCACCTTGGGTTGATGATCGGAGCTATTTGCGCAAATAGCTAAACAGTGTAGGGACATAGTCCGGGTGTGCCTTGACTAACGCCGGCTTCCCTGCAATCGAAGAGATGTGATCATCGCCGCACTTCGCATACCTGTAATAAAATGGGCGCTACATAGTCTGGACAGCTGACTCGGCTTCCAGTTCTTCGAGGGGTCGGACTTGTCAACTCTCCTGACGGCACGAATCCAGGCTGCCCGCTTAACGGGATGAAGCTTAGCAGACGGGAAGCGAAAAAAGCTAGTTCCACAACCCGGGCGATAATAGTTCCGACAGCCGAAGGCTACACAGTTCACCGGCATGATTGCGGTGCA